TGGTGTTAAATTAGATAGTATATAGTACTAGTAATAATTGATCCTAAAATGTAACCATAAATTTGTACTATATCAAAGATCAAGCTAATAAAAAACCAACTGGCATTGTCACCAAAGTTCAAAAAAAAAAAAAAAAAAAAATTTGAAAAGAAAGATGCAATAAAGTATTCAAATAGGAAAAAAGCTAAGGAATCAATACAAAAAAAAAAGAATAAAAAATAAAGCAGTAGAACAACAAAACAAAGTATTACACAAAGTTTTACCAAGATCAAGAGACAAAACTTAGGAAAAATAAAAGATATAAAGAAAGAAAAGAAAACAGAAAGCAAAAACATAGAAGACATATAGAGGAATACAGTTAGAAAATTAATTAGTAATAACAAGAGGCCTTACTGAAATAGCCTTAAAGGCTAGCCTGAATAGCCCTCTAGTAGTAAGTGTAAACTCATTCTAGTGTAGCAAATCATCTCTAAGCACTGACACAGTAGCCAGAGGATGTCAAACCTAAAAATTAAGCTAATATTTGTATAATCATATATGCAATTCTCTTAATAAAAAATTTTGACAAGGCTGCCAAAGAGTTAAAAAAAAAAAAAAAATACTAAATCTGCTACTTGGAATTAACAACTTATTCATTATATTAAGTAATCATATTTCTTATAAAATTTTTTTTATAAAAAAAATTTGAATACTTTTAGCTTGTGTTAGTAGTTATAGATAACTATTATGCTATATTTTAAAAATAGTATTATAATATAGTAGTTAAGTATATTAAGTAAATATGTTTAGCATTTCTAAAAAACATTACAAAAACTAAAATTTAATCATGATACTTAATCTATATTATGTTATTTAAAAAAACTATTATATAAAACTTTTTATTTATATTAAAGTTACATCTTAATTATAAGTTTTAATAAGAATATTTACTTTTAACTAATAGCACAGTTTATAATAATTTAAAATTTTAATATAATTTATAATTAATAAATAAAATATTTTTTTTATATTAAAATTAAACATTATTTTATAATAACCTATTACTATAATAATTCTATATAATTGGCCAATTTAAATTAAGCATATAACTATATAATAGTTGTTTATTATTAACTGACTAAAATTAGCTATAAATTTTTTAAATCTTAAAATAAAAAATAAATTTTACTAATTCTGAACATAATTAGCTACTATATATAAAATTACTATAACAATAGATTACTATTTATTTTTTATTTTTTAAGCTTATTTTTTTTAGAACTAAAGGTTTTTATTTAGTATTAAAACATAGTAATTTTAAGAAACCTTTTTATATTAGTAAATACAACTAATTATATTGTGAGGACAGATTAAGATAGGATTAGATAGAATTAATAAACAAATAATAAAGTAACTACAATAGCAAAGTATAAACTATCTACCAATCTTAGTAAAAGTGCAAGTATTGCCTTGTAAGGCCCCAGTGACTATTATTAAACAGAAACTGTCTACTCTAAGAATAAGTTAAACCTGCAGTTGATTATTCATCATAGTTATGTGACCCATAACCTGAAGACCAAATCGAAAAGTGTCTTAATCCTAATTCGACATAGTGAAATCCCAGATAAGACAAAGAAATAAGAAAAGAAAGGAATTAGTAAAAGAAAATAGGTTGAAAGAAAGAAAGAAGAAAAGATCAGTACTTACCTACAGATAATAAATCACTTAAGATTGCAAATCATCTAATCATTAAATGAAGCCAATCTTCGATTAGTAACAGACTCAACTATTTAGAGACTCTTATGATCTTTGTAGCTACTGTAATGCTGGAAATTGCGATACTGAATACTATGACTGATCACAAGAAAAATGCATGAAATGCAATAAGTTATATTTAAGATCAGAAAAGGTATTTCAGATCCAGAAAGGTAGATAAGGAATAATGAGAGGATGTAAGGATAAGTTATACATCTTTAAATAAATAAAACAATAATATAGAAATTAAATATATTACTGTAAATAACATTTAGCAGACTTTAAGAAATAATAAATGAAAAGTCACATTTGTAAGTGATGAATTTAGTATTATAAATAAAAGCCAAAATGGCTCTTAAGAAAAAAAATACTTATTATGCTTTGTTTGCTTTATTAAACAATAAATCCTAATACACTATATTGTACTTAATAAATACTAACACTATTAATATTACAAACTCTGTGAACCCCTAATAATGTCACTGTGAAACTCTTGATTATATAACTTAGCCTACTTGCATTCATTGACCCAAAGTAACTGAAAGCTTAATCACCCACAAGCCAAATCTAGCACCCTCTTTCGAAAAGATTACTTGTTGTATATTACTTGAGTTTTGAAGTTTGAAGTAACCAAGTCACAATCTTCTAAACCCAACAATATATACACTTTTGGTATCTAATTTAAGTAGTTTATTCATATTATAGATTCTATACTAGATACAATATTTAAAATCTAACAACAAATATTGTTTATTTAAACTTTTTATAATATAATTATATCTTGTATTACTGCAATACACTTCAATATATATATTAGTTAAGGGGTTACAAATTCTTATCTATATTTTTAGAATAGTAGTATTTTATTTACATTTTTAAAACATTGTTCTTAGAGTCTTTTGTATTTTTATTTATAACTAATTTGATATTACTATAGCTGAAACTAATACTTATAGTCAAAGTACATAATTGTTTCTATAATATGACAATCTGAGATCTAAAATATAAATCAAATTGTTATAAAAAACTAAAATATTTTTTATATAAAAATTTCAATAAATAAGAGCAACAGAATATATAGTTTTTAATCTATTAACAGCTTTTATTATAATTTAAAATTTTTCAAATTAATCTATATTTTTTGAAGTTCTATTTCAAATACTTTCAAAGATTATATTTACATAATTTTGTAATAATTAAATAAGAATTAGTATTATAATCTTTACTCAATCAATAATACTTAAATATACAAAAATCTGCTATATCATTTTTATATAAAATTGTAAATATTAAAAATGTAATTAGAATACAGTATTTTATTATATTTACTTAATTTTTTTAATGCTTGTTATAACAATATAAGATAGAACTAATCTAGAATTCTTTATTTATAGAGTAACTGCTGGGTTGTTTACATAATATTAAATATAACTATACTTAAAAGAGATATTGAATTTGGCAAATATATAAAATAAGCTATTTTTTATTATTGTATTCTACATTCTATCTTATTTTCTTTATAGTTTAAGTATATTACTTATATATTTTTTCTAATATACTATTAATGCTATATATACTACTTATGCTGTATATGCTAAAAATACTACTTATACAATATATGCTAAATACATTATTTATATAATATGCACTAACTATACTAATTATACTATATACTCAATATCTACAAATTATACTATATATATGCTATATTTATTAATTAATATATATTATTGTTTAATTATATAATCATTCTGTAATAAATTATTAATAATTCTATTTTAGATTATAATATTGTAATAATATATTTTTTTATAATATTAGAATAAACACAGAGTTTAATAAAAGTAATAACAAAGACAATAGGCAACATCAACATCCTTATACCTCCCAATATAGGCAGTACCAACATCTTTGCACCCAACTTGTAGGGTACTTGCTTGGAAGGATAATCAATAGATTGTACAAATAAGTCTTAATTGGGATCTAAGAAGAGGATTTGATTGGAAGAGTAGTCTGACAAGTAACCAAGACTAGAATGATGAGAAAAGCAGTGAACACAAGGACAGATTGTGATAAAGGATTGGTCTAATCAAAATTGGAAGCACTTCTGGCACAACTGAATAATCTAATTATAGAAGGGAAGATCTTGGAGGTAGGCATAAAACTTCCTTGTACAATGTAAAAGTACCAAATCAGGTTCTGGTCGTACCTATATAGAAGTCTATGACAAACAAGACTAGAGATCAACCAACCAATATAAGATAAGATCTGCAAGATAGTATGGCATCACTGAGGTTAGTGTAACTCTTTGGGCATAACCAGAATTGTTTTGCAGGTATTGTCGAATAAGCTGGGAGCTTGCAATACATGGTAGTATAATATCACTAGGGTCAGAGGAACTTTCTAGGTATAACCAGAATTGTCCTGTTTGTAAGTGCAACAAGTCCCAGTCTCTATCATAAAAGGAAGCACTATTTTGGAGATTAAATGCAGCATCAAGTTACTGTATAACATTAAGACCTGGGGCATTTGCAAGAATGACAGCAGCAGGTTTGGCTTGAGATACAGATTGGTCAAAAAACCAATAGCAGCAGCAAATCTGGCTTGAGATATGGGTTTATTGCAGATCCTGGACCATTGTCAGAACACCTTAAAGGAATCAATAATAGGCAAACCAAAGATAGGAATATCATAAGAATCAGACATACCTGAGTAGAACTAATTTGGGAGTGATACAGTGACAAAAAGGTGAGAAATGTGGGAAACAAGATAATATTAGATATAGTTAGATTAGGAGGCAGAAGAAACAAGACCAGATAAATCATGTAAGTGAGATATATGAGTACAATTTACAGAAGACAGTACCCCTGGCATTTGGGATGCCGCATTAAGTTCAGTAGGTATTCTTGTCTGTGTAGTGGTTTAATGTGTGCCATGATCACAAGTAGTTGCCAAAGTAACTGCATGCAGGCATGTAACAAATATGCATTTAGATGCCATAAGGGTAACTGGATAAAGTCAGTGGTATTAAATTAGATAGTATATAGTACTAGTAATAATCGATTCTAAAATGTAATCATAAATTTGTACTATATCAAATTAAGGCTAATAAAAACCAACTGGCATTGTCACCAAAGAAAAAAAAAATATATATATATTATTTTAATTTTAAATTAACAAATTTTAGTGCTTCATAATAATCCACCCAATCAAATAAACATGACAGAAGCAAGACATTTACCTACATTGAAATATGTATCTACCTTGTTAAAACCAATTCTACAATATATAGGTCAAATGTTATTTAGTAATTATTGTGATATGATTATACAAGCATAGGCACCTGCTATACCAAATATGATGGCTCTTGAAAATACAAATACTGAAGATTTTGATAATGCTGTCAAAGTTAAAATTATAAAAGGTAAATGGCAGAAAAATATATACCAGTACCACCTCAAAATAATTTTATAAATCCAGTAGTTAATATTGATAGTCCAAATACTTTAAGAGCATAATTAAATGCAAAATATTAACGAGAAACAGTTGAAACTAGCCAATCAGCTATTTTAAGATTATTTCAAGAAAGATTTCAATCTTTTAATAATCCTAATACCTATGAAGCCCAAATTCATCTACTATTATTAGGTATAGCAAATAATAATGCACAAATATTAGGAACTTTTAAAACTCATTTATCAGGTGATTGAGAACTTTATAGTTAAATGAAAAATGAAAATATAGCAGATATTAATGAATTTTTTATTTTATTAAAAAATATATGGCTTGAGTGTTCTAGTTTATATGTAGATCAAAACTCTGATCAAGCACAATCAAAGAAAAAATTATTTACAAAGCAAAATAACAATGTTCAAAGTTCACAGCCTGCTAGCAATATTCTACAATTTATGGTTTCACAACCAGCATTCCCCTTATATGATGAAATGCAAAAATTATTTCAAGCTATAATTGATAAACAAAATACTAAATATAAAGCTAAGATGGAAAAATTGAAAGCTGAGTTTGAATCAAAAATGAGTCAACAACTCAAAAAATCCCATTCTCCAGTTTTACCCAAAGATCATAAACAAATACATGAATTTTATGCAGATCAAAGAGATCCTAGATGATTAAATCTTTCTAGAGAAGAAGTACTACAGTAGTTAGATAAAGCTTTCTTTTCTCCTATAGCAAGTAAACCAGAGTGATTATGGTTATCAAATCAAAATGCTAGAATAGATAAAATAAAATCAAAAGTAGATAAAATCAGTCAAATGACATCTCAATTTGGAAGGATGATGCTTAATAATCAATACAAAAAACCAGTAGCTAAATCAAATTCAACATATTGATACTTTTCTTCTCTAATATCTTCCCAATCCTAATATGCATTTCCTAATTTAGATGATATTGAAGATGGTGAAGGTGGATATAACAAGAAAGATAATATATGGCATGCTTCATCTCAGTTAGAAAAAAAAAACAGGTATTACTAGTAGATAATAAGTCTTATATTAATGCACAAAGCACACTTACTAGGAAAAATATAATACCAAAAACTTATGATCAACTAATAAATTCATTATCACCAGCAATGTAAAGAATATGTAAATCCAATTAGTCTTATAAAGTTTAGAAAGAATCCAATAAGTGATTCTTATCAATACAATATTTGCATAGCAATATAAATAATTTAACGAGCTCTAATAGTTTTTTAGATCTGGGTAGCAAATTTAGTACTATTAATAATACAACTATTAAAATGCTTGAGTAGAAAAATGATAAACAATCTGATTTTGCTATAAAAAGTGACAATTCAAAACATATTACTGAATCATTAGGATGGATTACTAATGTTCTAATCTCTATAAAAAATAAGGCAGAAAAAACAGTTACAGTTTTAGGGAATTTTGTACATATTGATAATAGTAAGCCTGAACCAATGCTTTGTTTAGGTATAACATAAATTAGAAAAGTTTAAGGTATTCTTGATTCAAATAAAAATCAATTCCAAATGAAGTTACATAAAAAGACCTATATTATTTCAATATATAACAAAGCTTCAGTAGCTAAGGATCTGCCAAAAGAGAAGCAGAAGGTAGTTCTTTAGAAATCCTTCCCAAATGATTTAGCCCAATTTTCTCTAGCCTGACTAGTAAGAATGATTTAAAAAAAAGTGCAAAGAGCTTGAAAAGCAACTCATAAAAACTGAAGAGTAGCTTGATATGGCTCTAAATGCAGATTAGATTCTTGCAAAAAATGTTCTCAACTTACTGAGACAAAGATGAAAGAATAGGAGCTAATCTTTTAGTATCATTCATTAATTTTTTAAGATCAGATTCCTATCTATATGTATCATCTTTGGAAGAATTGGTTATTCTATTTTTTTCTACTAGAAAAGATTCATCCTTTGCTTTTATACTAATCTTTTGTTTTTGACTAATCTTATCTTTTCATTCACTAGTTATTGTATTCAGCCTTATATGAAAATTTGCACCATCTTTATCATCTCCAGGATAATCTATATAAATGACCTCATTTTCTTATATATTAGTAGAAAAGATATTATGCTCAGTACTTATCAGCTGTAAAGATTCTTGATTATTTTCTGAAATCCAATTAGAGATGCTAAAAGATTCTAAGATTTTATACCATTCCTTAGTTGGTTCAGGAGGTCTTTGATTATTAATAATTTTTTGATATGTTATTGCCTCTATATAATGTTTTTTACATATAACATGTCAAGCATTTGGAATATTATTCTGAGCATTTCTGATTTCTTCAATGGCTTGAGATAACAAGCAAGTGGCATCTGATCTAAGAAATTTACAAGTACAGGTTAATAGTTTTTTACTTATAATTTGTTAATAATAAATTTATATAATACTAATAAAAAACTTGTAAAAAATTTATTTGCAACCTATTTGGCATTGGTCTAATATTAGTTTGATATTAGTTTGAAATATAAAAAAAAATTGTTTTCTTTATTATATAGCTTGTTATAACCATAATTCAAATAGGGTTAAGATGTATATTATATTTGTCTTAAACTAATTTATTATTAGTTTAATATCAGTTTGATTCTGGTTCTCTTTTTCTATATTTGAAGAAAAATATATATATATGAATAATTTACACTAACTACTTTTGCCAAAAAATTTCTAATGCCATCTTAGAAAATTACCAAGAAAAAAATATATCTACTTTTAAGTAAATTTATATAGCAAATCTGCATACATTGAATGAAATAAATGCTAGGATAGTTCTGATATCTGGCAATAAACTCAGAAGTATTCTATCTAATCGATATCCACCCAGCTGAACAGAACTTGTAAATCAGCTTGCTTGCACAAATCAAAATCAAGAAATTGCTATAGAATATGGCAATTGACTTGCTAATAAATACTCTGTCTTAGATAAAGACAATAAGCATATACAATAGAATCTAAATCGATCTAATAAAGATAAAGAAAAACCTTTCAAGCATATCTACCAACTTATAGATGAAGTTAAGTGATTGCACTTAGAGTTAGATACTCTAACATCTCAGATTACTTGTAAGGATATTTCTCTTAATGAATATAAAGACAAGATTCATACAAAACTAAAAAAGATGAAGGCTTTTTAGTCTAAGATAAAAGCATCAGAGACACAACTATCTTCAACTCAGAAGGATTTATCTATAAAAGAATCTGAAATTAATTATTTTAGGATTGAATTATCTGCCTTGAATTCTAATCTAGCTTTGAAAAATAGTGAATTAGAGCATATAAAAAATATGTTAACTTTAAAAAATAATTTAGCTGAAAAAAATTTAGAGATACACTTCTTAAAAACTAGACTTAAAGAGCTATTAACTTGCAATAAATTATTATCAGAACAAGTCAAGATCAGAGGTAAGACAGATAAAAAAAATGATGATAATATATCAGTTATGCAGTTTCTGCCAAAGAATCTGAACTCTTTATCTCTTGCAAAATATTTTGTATGTAAGCCTAAAACAGAGAATAGTTAAGTAGATAAAGATATCTAAGAATCTTTGACTTAACAAATTTTAATCAGTTTAAATAATAATATGCCTAAAGAATCAGAAATCTCTAATGAGAAGCAGATAAATAATAAGCAGGTATGAAGTAACATTTTTCCTAAAATAAGCTTAAAGTATATTATATCTAAGATAAAGAATAATAATATACCAATAAGAGAGATTGAAGCATTACCTGTTGTGACATTAGATGCTGGCAAAGCTTTAATTAATTATAAGTATCAGATTCCTCCTATTGTTAAGCTTGTTGTTCTTGTTATAATAACAATACTAATTATTTAGTATATATATAGGAATATTTTTCATCCAACCAAAAAGAAAGAAAAATTTTATTCAGTATATAGAAAACAGAGTTATGGATTTCCAATCTGCCATGCAAAAAAATTCAAAAATACCTTCTATGAAACTATTCCTTATAGATATGAATGAAGCTAATAAACATGTTGCATCTTGTTATCAATCTCATCTAGCTAGTCCAAGATGGCTCTTTAAAATGATAGTTATAGGAAAAAGTGAATTAGGTAAGACTAATATCTTAACAAATCTTTTTCTTAGTGATAAAGCTAAATATATATATAAAGGAAAAAAAGGTAGTAGGAGATATATTTCTTGTGATAATTTAATAGTTTGTGGTTATCATTCTGTGAGCCAAAATGGGCATTAATTAGATATATATATGGCATAATTTCAAAAGACCTGAAAGTACCTTATAATAAAAATATACAATTTAGCTATATATCATCAGAAAACATTCTTAGTGTAAAAGCATTTTCATCTGAATGAAGTATAGCAATTGTTTTTGAGAATTTGTGTCTCACTTCAGAACATATACAGAATTGAATTGGCCAATTTTTTGGAAATGAGTGATATTGAAATATTTCATGTATATTTGTAATACAGAAATATCATAAAATCACTACATTCATACATAAAAATGCTAATTACTTAGTACTTTTTAATTCTGATAGTTTATATGAAGATGTTTCTAAAATTATTCATAGATATACAGATGACATAAAAAATACATCAATGGTTATTAACAGCTACTTACACAAAGGCAAGTTTATTGTATTTAATCTAGATAGACCTAGGAACAATCTACTTGCAATTTAGCTAAGATTTGATACTTTACTAGATTTGCAAAAAGAGATAGAGTTACAGCAAAAGTGCAAGATAAAAAATATATTACCTGCTGAACCCACTTCATAGATTTTTATTTTATATTGGTATTTTCTATTTCAGAAATTTCATAATATATTTCTTAATTGTGATCTCAAGAATAGTATTATTACAAAGCAATAAGGCTCTACCTCTAGGAAAATAGTAGACAACTACTTATTTATATCTTCAAGAGTATTAGTAAAACTAGCATAGCCAAAAAATATTATATAAATAGTATAGATATTTTGTATCTACAAGAAATTAATAAATTGAATAAATACTATACTTCTATCTCTAAAAGTCGCTTTTGGAATCTAATCTGCAATTGACTCTTTTTGCATTCTATTCAATTATCTAAAATATAATATTCTTTATATTGTTTATTAATAATAGAACTGTGCATTATAGAATTGTTTTTATATAATTCAATCCATTTAGTATGCCACTAATTAAATTGTTCTTAAGTTTGAGAATTTTTCATTTCATATTTTGTTAAACCTAAAAATTTCATATCATCTGAAGTATTATTATTTTCTAAGCTGTTCCAAGCAAGTCATGCATTTAATGGTACTCTTTCTTGGAATCGTCTATATGCCTGTTGAATAATTCTTGCTAAACCATCTCTAGTTCTAGCTTTATCACACCTGTAATCTCAATGTTTCTGCATTAGGTCTTTAGATTCAAGAATTTCTATATATCTACCTCTTGAAAAGTAGTGTTTCTTCTTTAGCTTTACATCAACATTAACATAAATTACCTTTCAACATCTAAAGCAAATTGCAGTCCTATTCTTGAATGGTTTTGGGCAATAGTAATTAAAATTTCTAACTTACCTTCAGAATAAGAAGTGAATAAGCAGAATTAGTGATATACACTAAATTTTTGTTGGAGTAACAAATCTTGAAGATCAATTCTAACTTGTACTGCCTATTAAATAAGATTTTCATTTTGTCTTATGATAGACAAGTTGTTATATAATTTTGTAGTTTCATAAAGTCATTCAAGTTGTTCACCACTATAACTACAATAATTTAAGACATATAATTGCATATATCTCATATCATATCCAGGATGGTTGTTAAAGGGTTTAGATAGTGTTCTATCTTTTTTGTCGATAATAATAGAAATACTAAGACCTGACATATTTGGGATTATTCAACAATAATGTTTTTAATAATTATATGGTTTATAGACCTATTAGATTTTATCAAGTTAATATTTTCTTAATTTCAGATTTAATTTTTGCAAGAAGAATTGTAATAAATGAATATCGATTAGATATATAAAGTCAAAGGCCCTATCGTCTAAAGTTAGATGAAATTTTTTGCATGACTATCCTAGAAAGAAGTATAATAAATAAAAAGCAAGGTGGATACATTTAAACTATTTCTCATCTTGTAGTTCAGTAGACAAAACTGCAGGAAGCCTGTATAATCTTCTTTTTCTTACTATGCAGACAATAATAGCTGATGATTATGCCCTCTGTAATAGTGTTTTTATATATAAAAATAAATAGAAAAAATATATGACATGCTTTCAAGAAAGAAAGTATGCAGATCCTAAACCATTTAATATGAGTTTCTGCACTATATTATTTTGCTAAAACATTAATATACATAGTCAGAGGCCCTATCACTTCAGTAGTAGAAATAAAATTTTTTGCTTAACTGAAGAAGAATATATTATTAGAAGACAGCTAAATTGCATATTTTTTGCAGAACAAATAAACTACCATTGCCAAAGCACTGAGCCATCTGCTCTGTTAAAGCAAGAAGATTGTGTACATGTTTGATCACACAACTCACTGAAGCAAACTCGTGTTAAATAGTTATAGAAGTCATCTTATCAATACAAAAACAATACAATAAAAAAAAGAGATGATGTTTAGACATGTAAGAGCAATAAAATTTATAGCTAAAAAATATGGGAAAAAGAATTTATATAAGTGAGAGCCAGAGCTTAAAATTCTATAGTAATTTGCCAACCCAATATTGTTTGTTTTTGAGTTGTGTATTATTAACTAGAAAAGAAAAATAAGAATATCAATTATGTAATAATTTGGCACATCTTCAATAAGCAGGTTTACCTAACAATAAGCTATAAATATTTGTACAACATACAACTAAATCATGTCTCAACAGTAATTTTTCTGAATTTTTGATAATTGATTTCATTATCTTATCCATGGTACTTATGCATTATATGAGCATAATAGTAGAAATGATATTAAGTAATGCAATGCAAAAATGTAAATAGTGAATAGCAATAAGAAAATAAGACTTCTTAAATACACTTTAATAAAGAAGACACACATACAGTTTATGATATATTTTTTATTATATTTCTATTATTTTTATTTTTTTTACTAAAGTTTATTGTATAACTGTCCTAAACTTTGGAGGCAACTGTACATATATCACATGAAGCATAACTACAGAAACAAATTTTCCACCTTTAACCCTTGTCAGGCATGTGCTAAATCTAGAGAAAATGTTGATTATTAATAACTATGTTTTTTGTTTATATATAATAAAACTATCTATAGTTATATATTCTTGTCTCTGATCAGATATAGTAAAAAGGATCTGTATTTGTTTTGCTTTTAGTTTGAAAAGTTGCTCATAATAGTTTAAATCTTAAGCATTATTAAAGTCCTGCTCAGAAACTATTGATCCACTAACTTTTTCAATTTTAGCCTTTTTATAAACTTTAATAAACTTCTGTAAATAGTAAAAAAATATGTCATGTATGAAATAAATGACACTATGCCAGATCTCTTTAGTGACTAAAAAATTGCTATGAAGTAATAAATGTAAGACAAATGCTACAATTTGTCCTAGCTAAAGATTTATGACCATCTGGAGCTAGAAGAAACATAACTCTTCTCTTCATAATCCCTCAGTGCAACTAAGACACATAAACTATTTGGCTCATTATGTTCATCCTAATAATAGTCACTAGTGGTATTAAAATTAATAGCTCTCATTGAGAAAACTCCAAAGGGCTTTGGCACAAATGAACTCTATGACAACCTGCTTAGTTTTACATGTAAATCTCTATAATAATCTCAAAGAAACCAGTTGACAGAGTTTAATAATGCCTTGAAACTCTGAAGTAATTTGTTGACACATTCATGATAATCAATATTATGTATATTTGCAATATTGGAGTTTGTAAAAAGGAGCAAGTTGTTTCTAGTATAAGCTCCAAAATGTTCAATAAAATTAGTCCAAAATTCATCGCTTCAATGTGAAGGATGTTCTAACATATGGAAATAATAATTATTTACAGTATTGATTGCAAGTATGATGACATTGTAGTCATTAAGTTAATCTAAGTAAACTAATGTTTGACTACTTAGATCCGTAATGCACTTTAATTTTGTTATATGTTTGAATTGAACCAATTTACTTATTGATTAGAGATTATAACATGCTAATATGATCAAATAAGTCTTTTCTCTTTGAATATTATGTGCAGTAGCTGTATCAAAAAGATCTTAAAGTTCTTATCACTTTGGATATCATGACTATATTGGAGTTTTTTCTATAACAACCTAAGGTGCTGTCATACGTGCTTTCTTTTTAATGGACCATTCTGCCTTTTTAAGCCTAACTACTGACCGAAAGCAACCCACAATCAATTATTAATGGTATTAGGTAATGATCCCTCAATGCCAATATCAGTCTCTCTAATAATGTCAGTATAGACTACAGAGAGAAAATTTGATGGAATTTTAGACAACTCAAGAGAGTTACTGTCAGAGGATTTTGCTTCTCTAATTAGAGTTTTAACTGGCAATTCTCTAGCTAATATGTCATACTAAGTTTTATTTTTTTTAGATGATACCTGATCTGAAGAACAGAGAGAAACATGTGTTCACTTCCTCTTCAAATAATAAATATTATCATTAATGGATATTTTTTGGATAGTAAATTGGATTGGTGCCAAGATGGATTAAAGACAATATTATCGATTACCAAAAAGATGTTAACATCTAGCTTATGAAGCATCTCAGTTTGTTTCTAATCATGCCTAAGATTTTTATTTTTACGTGTATAGGTCTGTCTTGAGAATTTGGTTTTAGTGGGTTCATCCTGTGATGCAATAACCTCTTCCTCTCGTTTATTATTTGATATTTGCATTGTAATTGTTGTTTTTGACAAAAAAATATTAGGTAAATATTGATGTGTTGAAAAGTAAATAAATTAGATTCTTTATCAAAAGAAACACTTTTATTAGGAAATTTATACAACAAACTAATAATATGTTTGTTATATTCAGTATTAAAGTCAATTGCATGTCGCTACAATAATTTAACATCATAAAATAATCACATGTTACTTTGTTTTACATTATAATTATTTAACATAATAATTTCTATACTAACAATTACATATTTACTTTATTTAGCACTACAATTATTAAATATGCCAACAATTGCATATTTTCTATATTTGGGATTAGATCATTAATAACTTGTTAAGCATACTTATATAGAGTATGATGATAATTTTACATGCTATATTAAGCCAGTTCCAGATCTACAAATTTAGATAAGTAGTATAAAATTATGCTAGGTTTACAATAAATATGCAGAAAATTAATCATGTTTGTAGGACTGGATTGCAATAACTTTATTAAATAAAACAAGTTTGAGAGATCTATTTTGGGTATTACAAGTATATAATTTAATTTTCTGGCAATAGGAATATATGATATTCACTATTTGAGATCATTCTGGCCAAGATAAACAAATTTAAGATATACAAATCTGAGGCATACGAAGTTAGTTAATTATACAAAATTTTGGACATAATACCAATTTGAGTTTGGTTATAATGATTTTTTTTGAATAATATAAAATAGAAAATGGTATGAACTCTGGTTGAAGTTTGGTTATTTATTTTCATAATGAATATATAATAAAATATAAATATGGGTTAAACTAGAGTTAAACTTGGGTTGAATTTGGGTTAAAAATGGTAGAATAGACAGATGCACAAACATGTACTCTAATTAAAGAACAAAGAAATAGAAATATAGAGTACTATAGCTACAGAATAAATCAAAACATATTTTGGAATAGTATTGCAAATTGAATCAACTAAGAGCATAATACTAATTTTACTGGTTATCATTGTAAAGAAAAATTTTCGAATCTTGTTCAAAGTTATAATGTAAGTTCACACTATAAGCATTATTTTTTTATTTGGCTTCTATTAATATAATTAAATTATTCAATTAGGTGATATGTGAATATATGTTAGGTAGTCGTGGAGCATGTAGAAATCAAATGAGTGCACAATACTTTAATAAGGTTTATACACATTTTGGGAAAGGCCTAAAAATGAATTTGATAGAATCTGTACTCTTAATATCTTAAACCATAGATGGAATAGAGATGTGGGAAATACAACACCAGCACCACCTATTGATGAAGTTAAGCATGTATTGAGTATGAGCTCTTTCATTAGACGAATAAACTAGTCTCCATCTATTATTAGTAGAAGGAGTCAAAGATATTCATTATATTCTGCTTCATCCAATAATAATACTAATATAAACAACCCTAGTATGAGAAATTCTGAGCAAAATATTAGCATTCCTCTGCCTCCAATTAAAACATTATCTTCCCAACTACTACCTTACTCATAAGCCACAGATAAAGCACAAAATAATAATCAGAGCCAAGACAGTTCTAACTATAAAGTAGCTATCTCTGGTAGTAATCTAACACCTGATTTGCTAAATTTATTCTTATCATAAAATGAAAGTGATGCCATTATGCATGATATAGGTAATCAACTACTCTTCTATATAAAATCAATAAATGAAGAGGAAAGATAAAAATCCTTGATCACTTTTCTTTATTTAATAAAAATAGTACAATTAAGACTCTTTGAGTTGTCCTATGGGCCTGCTGTATATATATAGATATATCACTATTTTTTGCATAGTAGCATCACATAATATTGGTACTGAAATTTTACCAAAAAAAATAAAAAATAAAGTCTCAGAAAATGTCTGATATTTCTAGTAATAAAATTGATTGCATAATACAAATGTTTAATCAACATATCACATATCATATCAAAGAAAAAAATTAAAGGTTATAGAACTTTTGCATGTATAGTAGTTTAGTGATTTTATATATATTTATTAAGAAAAAACCAACAGCACTTCAGATGCAGAGCATCCTCTTTCTAAAAGACAGTGGCTTAACAGTAGTTTATGACCTTTTAATATATATACATAATGAGAATAATTTAAAATTTTTTTTATTGCATTACAATATTATAAGTTATATAAAATTAGGAATTGGTTTGTGTTACTCTCCTATAGGATTAATTTTCACAATTAATTTTTATTAATAATGAATATTACGAATAATGCAAATAATGTCTAGACCTATATGATCTTGCAATAAGAATAAGGCTTAAAAAGGCTAAGAGAGTAATAAGTATAATATTTCTTATCAGTAGTTTTATCCAAATTTATATGTTATAAGGGACTTGGAATTCCCAAATCATCAAGATCGTTGACTTTTTTCACTTCACAAAAATGATCATTGAATCTAAGAAAAGTTAATTTTACTAGAAAAATAACAAAATAGACCCAGTATTTGGAACTTATAACTGAGCAAAGTTGCTTTATTCTGCTTTATTCTGTTATTTACTTACTAATCATGTATTTTTTTTTTAGTAAGTTCTAAGATCTAATGAATAAACAGTATAAAATAAGCAAGTTCTCACCTGTAAGATAAGTTAGCAATAATGTTATTTTTTGCTCATATATAAATTTACTTGTCTACTTGCCTGTAATTTATTTTTTAAGTAATTTGCTATTTTATTTAACAGAGACTATGAAAACAAATTTTTGCTTACTTTGTTTTTTGTATTTAGGTATGAAAAATAAGTAGTAAAAAAAAAACCACCACCATTAAGACTAATAACACCAACACCACCCTCAAGACTAATGACACCAACACCACTTCCAAGACTAATGATGCCACTACTACAAGTAATAACACCACTACCTTCATGACTAATGATAGTAACCTCTTTGAGAACTATTATATTCTTCAAATACCATCCAATCCAAGACCTAGCCAAAGAATATCTAATTCCAATTATTAATGTAGAAATAGAAGAAACAGATATAGTAGAAGGTAACTTTTATTAGAAAGTACTTTTCATATTTTTGTAAAACTAAGGCTAAAACATATTTTATTAAGTTATTTCTGTGCATTAAATTAGATGATTCAACCTATAACCCCAAAGAAGATGATGACTATAACATTGATGAAGGCAGACCCTTGGACAATTTTTCAGAAGAAAATTCAGAATGGTGTGAGGAAAATAATTTCAATAAGTATAAGAATCCTGGACAATGACAAGAAAGACTAAATCAAAATTAATAAATAGTTCATATTTTTGTCTGCAATATGCAACTGTAATATATTTTTTTATTTGTATATTAATTCAGCAATATTATTTTTCATAATAATAAAGTGAGAGTCCCATGGTCTTACTATTTTTTATTTTTACATAATTTTTGCAATATAATTTGCAATTATTAATTAGTAGAAATAATAGAGTTTATACCTAATTATCTTATTAATCTATGCTTTTATAGTTACTATTTGGATTGAGTTTTGATATTTATTTTTATAACAATAGAGATGATAAGTTTTTTTACCATAATATTCACTACTTTCCTACTCATCCTCTATAAAATTTCTTATATTATCTTTTTTATAATCATTGTTGCATATAGGACAGAGTACAAATTTATTAAAATCATAATAATTATTATATTTAAACTATGTTTCAAAGTTAAATAAGGAAATTATTCTAATACCATTTTAATAACATGTTGTTGTCTTTCTTCTGGGTTTTTAGATAGAACAGAAATTGGGAATTGTGATTTAGATGATGTAGATTGAACATTTACCTGCAGTACAAATAAAGTTTTTTTCTTAAAAGATATCTGTGTGAATTGAGCATAGATTTTTTCCTATTCTTTCATAAGATTATCGAGCCATGCAGTACTTAAACCACTTTTTAGTATATCATAATGTAATAACTCTTTACTGACTAGCCTCTTCTGATCTGTTAAAAATTTATGATATTTTCTAGAGTTTTTTTTTCTTTCTATTCCACTATGATAGAAATATATATCTCTTTCCAAATCTTCATGAAAACATTTCATGGTCTATCTATTTTTCTTAGCCTCTGTAATAATTGAAAATTCTTTGGGATTTATTCTATGTTCGATGGCATACTGATAAAGACAATTTTTGTTTGACACTATTACCAGAGTTTCTAACAAGCTGTCTTGTATGATTATCAACATTTTTGCTTTGTAGAGATTCAGAAGTTTCAGACTTTATTTAAGGATTCAGTTCAGTCTCTTCTATGTATGCTCTATATAATCTAGAATAAATTTTTTCTGTCTGAAAACTTGGTAAATCAACTAAATTAGCATGCTATTTGCAATAGTCATCAGTTAATATCTTGCTAGAAATAGTATCAGAAGACATGTTATTGTTTTATATTAATGCAACTCAATTCAAAATTATGTAACTGCCAGACACAGAGTGTTCTGCTCTACAAATAAAAAAATATCAGTATTCACTTGACCAGATTTATGTAATTATTTACTTATGCAGTTATTTCAATTTTTTGTTGTTCACATTTAATAAAATAAGATTCAGCTTCATATCTACTTCTTATACTTTTCTCATTTCTATGACTCGACTTGCATGCTAGACATAATAACTTATCAATAATTCTATAATAATCGAATTTTTTACTACTAAATTCTCTATATATATCAGGATATCAACATAATATTTTATTACAAAAATAATTACAATCATAGATAAGATTAGATAGAGATAATGCACTTACTTAAGCTTTTGATAAAGACTTTGCTGATATTTTAACTTTTGATAAATTGTCCAGATCTTCACTTACTTTAGAATTATTTTAATCATAATATTTTGTTACAGTTTTTGATGCTACCTGATTTATAATATATTGAATTTGAATATCTTTCAATCTTGAAATAGTACTTGCACTATATGTAATATAATTGATTTTATCTATATCTACTTCTTTACCAAATAGCTTAAGAATTTTTTGAGCTCTTTTGGCTTTCTTACGCAAATTTGCATCTGTAATATTAGGTAGAAAAGGTTTCATTTCTCTATATATTTTTAATTTTGCTGTTTTATCTTTAATTTGACCATCTGCTATAAGGCTTTTAACCTTATTTTCAAATTCTAGATAATAATAATACCAATTTAAAATTTGTTATTGACATAATTTAATTGCTTTATCAAATAAGTCAGATAAACTTTGCACAAAACCTGAAGCCATATCCTTATTATTATTTGAATATAAATGATTGATTTTGGAAAAAACAATATTTTCTGCTTGATCATAGATCATCTCTTATATCAAACCTTTTATGATTTGATTGTCTGATTTAAGTATTTCAGAGGTGGTATCAGAATTGTTAAGATTGTAATATTTTGTTACAGTTTTCATATCATATAATAATAAGGATGTTATTGTCTTTTTAGATCCTGTTGAACATTCTGATTAACTAAAGATAAGTTCTGATTCTGAGAAGTGGAAGCTTCATTACTATGTAATAGCTTTTTTTCATATTTCTCTGTCTTATCTCATTACTAACTCTTTTTTTATTTTTTAAATCTAAAATGATATCAATTTCTTTATCTTTCAATGATTTAGATTTTTCGAAAAAAGTTTTATTAAAGTTAGATGTATTGAAAATTGTGTTAATTACCTGTTCTGAAGAATCTTTAATCTGCGCATTTTTACTATTTGAGCAACTCTTGTTAGGTAATGAAGTGAAATATTCCAGAGATATCTGTGAAAGCAGGGCTTGTAGGGCTAAATCATTAGTAACTGTTCAATTTTGCTTTTCAATATTCTTAACAGCTCATTTTAATTTTGCAATTTCATTCTTGAGCTCAGTATTTTCTGTTTGACTTAACTTTGTAGTCTGTTCTAATTTCACAATTTTAACCTCAAGCTTATTTTTTCTTTTGTAATCTGTTCTAATGCTGCAATTTTAGCCATAAGTCTAATGTCCTCTTGTTTCAATAAATTAATTTCAGATTGCATGTTTAACAATAACTTTTATACAAATACGAATTATTCAAATGTTATTTATTATTATAGATAATAATCAGAATTGTAACATGTAATTATGAGACTAAAAATATAGTTTCATGTGCTGGGATAAATTAATAACTTGCAATACACAGAAAATATGATTTTTACATGTAAATAAATATATGTAACACTATTACTAATTATTATTATTATTTTTTTTGGTATTAAGGTGACCTCTTTGGTCTTTTGACTTTATTAATCACTTATCAGTATTGTGGTTCAATGAACCACTACAGAAGAGTGTACAATTGGCTACACATGTAACTTTTCTATATTACCTATTTAAGGAGTCCACCCGAAGGTTTCCTACTAATTGCCATACCTAACACCTCTGCTTGGGTGTTCTACTTTAAATTCTCTGAACCTGTAACCTGTGTTAACATTACTGGTTATCACTGATGTACCAGATCATCGTCCTCAACCTTAGATTACTAATTATTTTCATCTTATAATAAAATCAAAAATATTATTATTATTTTATTACTATGACAAATTAATTCTATAACCAATGAAACCTATTATAATAATAATTGCATAATAAAAAAAAACACATTCTAGTATATTAATTTTATTAAGTATTATTTAAAACAAGTTCATTTATTTCTTCTTCATTTACAAGTATTAGATCATTATCTGATAAATGCACCCACTCTCATAAGTCACTGGTATTATCATTGATCAAAGGCACAAAAGAATAAATTTTTTCTAGAAGTTTTTCTTGTTCTATAAACTCATTCCTTATAATTTTAAAAAAATTAAAGATTCTTGTGTAGCATTCAATGGTTTTAAGCAAAAAGGGAATTATACATAAAGCCAATTCGATAGCCAAATATTTTTTCTTGTCAACAAGTGATATGACAAATAATATTAATTTATCCCCAATTGCCTGTATACAATACAATCTGACTTTCTTAGCAATTTCAATAGGACAATCAAAATTGTTCACCAATATTCTGCATAAATTACAAACAGCCATTATGAGTAATTTTTTTACATCTCCAACTATATGTTTCTTTTCCGGTTTGTAAAGTGGTCCAGATACTTCAATATGTAAAATTTCAGTTGCATCTGATAGTCTCAGAACTAACAAATCAGTTTTCTGAATCCTTATGTTAATTGCAAACATATTGCAAGCATCCCTTATGGATTTGACATCTTTTTTAATCCACTCATATCTAATTTCAGGAAATGCATTCCTAAAAGATCGAAGTATGGGTGAAAGGCATTCTACAATATATGACCTTTTTGACATATCTTGAGCTAACACTTTAGGCAACTTATATTCATGCATCGTGATGAAATCTAGGAGGGTGTGCTGGATAAAAAAGAGAAACTGTGATTCCTCACTCGCTTTTATATTTTTTTCAACCTCAGTTTCGGTTATTATCTTCAAACTAATTTCCACATAGTCCGTTTGAAAAATTGCCTCCAATTTCGAGGTTATCGATTTGTTTAATATCAATTTATTTCTTATTCTAAGAAGCTTTTCGATCTTCTCAAATAAACTTTCATCGACGGTTTCTCTGACTAAATGTAATGTTGAGCTAAATGCGCAAATTATATGTGTAGAAATTAGGTTATTGTCAGAGGTAAAACCGACACCTCATGGAACCTGCGAAATGGACGTCATTGTGGCATACTTACCTAATTAGAGTT